GGTTCAGAGGGTGGTCGGGGGCTTGGCATGCATCGGGTGTCCCATGAGGACTGGCCCTTTGCTCATGAAGGCTGATGATCTCCTAAGAAGAGAATTCCATGGACTCAGCTTCCGTGCCTCAAGGGGCTGCCAGGTGTGTTAACCAACACTGCAGTGAGGGCTGTGGGGGACTCTGCTGGAACAGAAAGAGAGGAAGGGGGCACATGCCACATTCCTGGAGCCAGGAAAGTGACCATCCCTTCTGTGGCCCTTCCGCTTCCCTTCGTATCTCGTCCTCTTTCCGCGTTCCCACATTGCTGGTTTCCCCACTCTTATGAGGCCGGTCCTCCTCATTTTCTTTCACTGACTCTGCCTTTGGTGTCTGGGGAGTGAGAAAGATGACTCATGCACAGGAGTGACGCTGGCCCTGAGTCACTTCAGGGGAAGTAGGTACAAAGGAGGACCCAGCCATCTGGGGGCCTGGATTTTAGCTCTGCTCCCCAACAGCTGTGTTACTGGGCTGCAGTGTCCACACCTTCAACAAGGGATCTGAGAAGATGCCATCGGGTTCGTTCTGGCTGGGCATCCTGCAATGCTAGCGCTTCAGAGTCTCCCTCCCCTGGCCCCACCCCTGCCTGTCCCACCTGTTTCATCAGCCATGGTATGGCAGGAGCAGCAGAGAAACGCCTTCCCCTTCTCGGAAGCTCAGAAGGAGACCAGGAACCCCAGCGTTAGACTGTTCGTTGTTCACATGCTTACCAGAACATCAGGGTTTAAATGGCATTCATTCTGTTACAATACAGACCATTAAGGTCAATCTCAACATAGACAACTTTGTGGTCCCCTGAGTGGTTTTTTGGTTCTTATGAGCATGGAACTTAGTTCAAATGAACATGCTCCAGAAAAGTGCCCTCTCATTCTTTAGCCTTGGAGAGGGGAAATGACAGAATGCCATGTCCTCTCTGTGGGTCTTGGAGCAAAGTAGTGGTGGCCGAGACCCCACCTGCTCATGCCTGCCGACCACCCAAATGCCCAGGAAGGGGTCGCCACTCCCTTTAGGAATGTTAGTGATACAGTGTTTGCTGTATGTCACAAGTCACTTTATTTTTTTATTTTTCATTTTATTTTATTTTATTATATGGTGGCTGGCTGATACGGGGACCTGAACCCTTTACCTTGGTGTTATCAGCACCATGCTCTAACCAAGTGAGCTAACTGGCCTGCACCTGCAGGTCACTTTAGATCATCCACCCAATGCATCCAACAGCTGACTTTTTGACAAATGGTTGCTGAGTGACATCCCCATGGTCAGTGCTGTGTGGGGGAGAGATTAACTTTCATCCTGGTGGAAAGCGAGCTGCCCTGTGCGAGGGATGCGGGTGTTCAGAGGGGCATGAGCATGTCTGAAAGAGGGCTTAGAGGTCAGCGCTGGAGGTAGAAGGCCCAGCAGACATGTTTCTCACACTTCTGGAGGTCAGGGAGGCACAGCTGGATGACAGAGTGCTGCTAGGGCCAGGGGCCATCACATGGAAATGTCCACATCTCTGTGAGTCTCCAAAACTGGACACGACCCACACACAATCACAAAACAACCATAACTACTCTGCAATACAGTGATTTTTCCAAAGGCTCACTAGTCTCAAGCACTAGTTCCAGAATTCTGGGTTTTAATCTTTCCACCTTCGTTGCAACAAGATTTATCATGTTTTGGAACAGACTAGTATTGAATCCACCCTCTTGTCATGGAGGCTTCATTTCGAAATCCAGTGTTTCCTGCCAACCTCGTTCTGGGCAGAGGAGGCCTGGCTCCCTAGAAACTAGCCCCTCAGCCCTCGGGTGCAGGGACTGCCATAGCAGGCTGGGCTTTGGAGTCTTCCGGGCCAGGGGGCTTAGCTTCAGGAACACCCCTGTCCAGCTGGACCCACTTTTTCAATCCTATTCTCTTTCTTCAAAGTCTCCCGTCCCTCCCCATCATCAGAGACTTTCATTTTGATCTCTCCTCAAATGCTTTCTTAGCATTTCTCCTATAACTTGTTTTATTTTTGCAAACTCTTTGGCCATTTTTATACCTCTTAAAACTGTCAAACTTTAAATAAATAAGGAAAAAAGTCTGAAGTGGTTTGTTTTTTTAATTTAGCAGACTAAGTAAATATGTGCTCATAAACATATACGAATCCTTGCACACAGAGTTTTAAGTTCAAAATGGTGATACGCATGCAATGTTCTACAGAAGGGATCAGTAAACTTTTTTTTTTTTTTGTCAGGTTTTTTTTTTTTTTTTTTTTTTTTTTTTTTTTTCTCTGCTGCTGTCTCTCTCTCTGTTCTGCTTTTTCTCCTTTTTCCCCTGTAGACTCGGCTTTGCAGCTGGAGAGGCTGGTCCGTTTACCCTTGGGAAAGCACTTTATCAGGCCGGGCGAAATGTTGTCTCAAGTCACAGGAAATCCATGCTTTGGGGGATGGCCCTCGCCAGCCAGAGCCAGATTTCTTCGTGTGTAAGTGGCCACATGGAGCGCATTTAAGAGCAAGGCTCTTAAACCAGAAATGGCAGGCAGTGGCAGTGCCCAGGGCAGAAGGAAGTGGGCCTGCCATGGTTGGGCAGGGTCTGCCAGTGTAGATGAGAAGGCAGTTGAGGCAGGTGCCCTGGCTCTTGGGATAGCAGGAGTGTGTTCTCTTTGCCCCTTGGGGCAGAGGCAGTGTAGGGAAGGGCGAGAGCTGGGCGGTGGTCTGAGGCCTGCTGAGCCTGCTTGCTACGGGGACTCAGGGGGAGTGTGAAACTTGGAGGCTGGACAGCCCCGGATTTAAATCCTAGCTTTGCCTCTTAACAGCTTATCTGACTTTAGTAGTTCACCCAGAACATGTCTGTTCCCTCCTGTGCCTATTTTCTGGTCCAACAGTTACAAGATGAGGAGGGGGAGAGAATGGAGCCCCACAACACATGTATTTTTTAAAAGCTGCCATTTAAAAGTATGACTCTGTGCTATGCACAGTTCTAAACACCTTGCGAGCATTGTTTCATCAAATCCTTACAACAACCCTGTGAGGGAGGGTCAGTTACTGTCCTATGTTGTTCATGAGGATTTGGAGACACACAAGGGTTAAGTAACCTGCCAAAGTCACACAGTCCTGAAGGGCAGAGCCAGGATTCACACCCAGCTGTGCAGATCAAGCACTCCACATGAAATCATGCTGTGGTGCTGCCTCTCCTCTCCTAAGTTTGTGGTTTCATCCGAGGCTGTGGTTCTTGTGTTGGGAGATGATGAACTGAAGTCCCCTCCTGCTCTTTGAGCTTATGGTCCTTCCCCACCCAGTACCTGCCATGTGCTTCTCTGATGTATGGGCAGGGTCAGGAAAGAAGAAAAAATATGTCAGTGAACTTGAGCGAGGCTGGAGCTTGTGACTGGAGGCTGTGGGGCTTGTCAGACCCACAGAGGTGTCCTCTTACCCTGGCACAGGAATCCCCATGCACGGCGTCTTGCTCGGCTGCCCTGAGGACTGGGCGGAACACAACAGACTGGAGAATGTCCACGTCCTCAGACCTGCTTCCGGGCTGGGTGTGGGGGCTCCAGGTCTGATCAGAGCCAGCGCCTGACCTCGAGGAGGGTTCCCCGACTGCCCAGATGTAGGAGTCTGTGCCGTATCCCACGCCCGGGCATATGAAGGAGAAAATAAGGCTCGTGGGCTGAGACGAGGGTATGAGGAGCAGAGGTGGGGACGGTGGCAGGGCGCAGACCCCGCGCTGCCAGAGTGCGCGATGAGCGGCAGGACTGACAGCTGCTGTAGACTGCGTCAGAGCAGACATCCGTGCTGGCCTCCAGGGACGACCCAGCCCCCCACAGCACGCTGTGGTGTTGAGTGGGCATCTGCCCCTGCCACCTGGCTTTGGTGGCCGAGCCAGGGCACATGAGCACTTCCTTGCCCAAGCCTCAGTTCAGGGATGTGGTTTTGTGTGGAGATTCTCCTCACCCCTCTATGTCCTCCTGGTGTCCAGCCTGTCACCTGTGCCGCCCAGCTTCTCCCACTCTCCACCGCTGCCCTTACCCAGCCTGGGCCCAAGCCAGCAGAGGCCCTGTCATGTTCTGTCCGGAGGGCCTGCCTCTCCTCGTGACAGTCAGCATCACTCATTTTAATGTCGGCTTCATCTGTCTCTGGATTGGGGGTGGGGTGGGTGTGGTGATGAAGGAGAGAAGGGAAGACTTCATGATTACTCGGTTTCCGCGGGCCGCTGTCCCTGAGTGTAGTATAAATGTTCCAGAAACCTCTCCAAGTGATCAAACACCTACCTGAACCCAGGCCTTCTGCATGGTAATCACCTGGGTGGCTCTGACTAGCTGGGTGCACCTTGGCCTTTGCGGCGTGAGCTCCCCTGGGGTCCTGTGCCAGTGGCGTCCCCTGCACCTCCACACATCTCCCTGTCCTGCTGGTAATTGGACTTTAATGGGTTCTTTGTAATTAAATAACTTGGCCCTTGAAGGGTTTCTGCCCAGTGCTTCCTCCCTGGCTTGGTCTGGGTACCATTGCTTATCACGGTGTCGGGAGATGGTTTCTCCAGAGATCTTCTCACGTCTGAGGTTTTGTCACTTCCATTGGGATGGGAGAAAAGGAAGAGGCTGGTGGAGAAGCTGCTGGCCACAGAGCATTGTGCAAAAATGCCTGACCTCTGCTGACCACCAGACCGTCGGTTGTTTTCAGGGTGTGAGTGTATGTGTGCTCATATGCGTAACCTGCCGAAACTCTTCTCATTCCCGTTTCTCCCCCTTTCCTTCTCCGATTTAGGTTTCTTGAAATCCAGAAGCCCAGGCTCTGTAAGGTGCTTCGTATCCTCGCCTTTGCTTATCCCTACACCTGGGACTCCCTCCCCATCTTCTACAGGGTAAGGGCCTGGCTGCACCTCCTCTCTGCTGTGGCAACTCCAGGGAGTCCATTGTTTCCTGAGCTTCTGGGG